GCCGGTCCCTGCCCCCACTGACCGGCGGGCGGGCGCGGTGGGGACCAGCGGGCGACTCCTGCATCCAGGGCTGGGGCTCCGCGGTGAGGGGCGACCCGGTGCTGGCAAGAGGCGCTGGTCGGCGGTGGTTGCCCGCTTCAGTCCCGCTGGACTGGCCGGGCCGCTAGTGCGTTCTGGGGCCCCCGCTTGGTGCTGGCACCAAGTCCCGGTACCGGGCGGCAACTCCCGAGTTTGGGGTCGCTGTTGGATTCGCTGCCTCCGGGGAATCGAGCTCTGATTTCTCCTCCTCCCCTTTTCCTTTATAATGAGGCCCAGGAGAAAACTCCTCAATTAAAAATTCCACACACCCTTTCCCCTGGGCAGCCTGAGTGGGGCTGGGGGCATGTGGCTATGCTTCTTAGTCTGGCCCCTTCCCTATGGCAGGCACAGCCTGACAAGACTGTTGACAGGAGATCTGGCCACAGATTATGAAGGCAAACATTGATCTCCCGTCCCCCAAGCAGTGCTTTACACAGGGCAGTGGGCGGTGGACAGTGTGTGGTGGGCCTCTGTAAGCCAAAGCTAGGAGTGAACTCCCCTTGGGTCAGCGTGTAGAAGAAGGGTCCGGGGGATCCGGAGGGTCCTGACGAGAGAGTTCTGCCCTACTGCTGCCTTATAGGATGCCTGATAGTCTTAACTTAGTATTTACTTGCAGAAGGAAGACTTTTAATTGTTTCAGATCAATTCAGATAGGACCTGACAGGGGCCAGACTTAAATCTGTGGATTCGTGTAGTCAACTCACCAATAGCTATGCCAAGGTGAAGTATCCAAAATCTGGCATCTTGTACCTGACACTTCATACGTGGGCTCATCTGTCCCTGGCCTCTTCAACCTCCTGTTCTTTCTGGGTATTGTCTCCCACTCCTTTGAGGAAAGACAGTGGTTTTACAAATAAAGACCTGAAAGCTTTGAGGGTCAGAGTATGACAACTTTTTCCACTGTCACAGCTCTGCTGAGCCCAGAGCCTGTGGGTAGTCTTCCTTTGGAGCAGGATTCCTCCAGTGAGATGAGGCAGAGGGTTCTCTGGTGAGCAGCAGCCAATAGGCAGGGGTGGACACAGAGCAACTACAATGCCTTGTCCTGCACCCTTACTGCTGGGTGGCCATACGTTCTCCTTTATACTCAGCTGTCACTGGAAAGGATCTCTGAACTTAGGATCTTCTGGGCAGGAATAATACAGATTTGGAACCTGCTGGGACTCTGAGCAGCATTAAGGGTGTAAGTGGATGAGTTGGAATATGGCTGTTGTCAGCCCTCGGTGCTGACAACCCTCCCCAGGTGGGCAGCACCAGCACTGGTGAGGAGGCCCTATCTCTGGAGCTGGATTGGATCTGGATGATGGCCCTGGTGGGGGTCTTCTCTCTCATGTGTTAGGGAAGTGGCTGTGCTCCTCCCCACTGGCCTGCCTTTTCATTTGTGGGGTACTGGATTCCTGCAAGCTGAATCAGGTGGTCTGTGAGTGTTGTGTGAGCTGGGAGGTGGGGTGGGCCTGTGATGATCAACTTCTTGTTCTTTCTCATCTTGTTTGCTTTCTGGGGGTACCTCAGGCCCAAGTTGTGGCTTGTTTGCTTGTTTGCATAACTGTCCTTTGAGTTGTTCTATGCCCTCCCCCCTTTTTAAAATTAAATATTAGTTTCACAGGAATAATTGGTGGGGATGGATTGTGAAATGGAGGCACATAAATATCTAATTTGCCAACTGAGCTAAGAATGCTAGATAAAAATAAAAGATAATTGTAAAAGACACCAATCGCACCCCTGGAAGCTGAGAGAGTGCTAAAACACCTTGATTTTTCCTAGACAAAACTGAGGAACTCAGAGGAAAAACACATTTGATGGTAAGGTTGGGCTGGGCTTTGTTTGGATTGGGTGGTGGTCAGTGAGGCCTGTCAGAGGGGGCAGAGCATAGACAGAACATGGATGCAGAGGTCCCCTCCAGACCTCACTTCTCCCAAGTGTTCCTCTGTGTTTCCTGCCCCAAATATCTGCCCTGGTGACTCAACAGGTGAGAACCTCCCGTCTGAAGTCTTCGAGAAATCTTTACTTTCATGTGGGGAGTCTGAAATGGCTAGTGGCAGATGGACATGGAGGACCTGAACACATCTCTGGCTGGCCTCTAGGGCCTTCCAGAACAAGTTGTATTCACCTGCATATCCTGCCCTTCAGAATGGTCCTTAGAGATCAGGAGAGAGCCCTGAGCATGAGTGGCATTCATGGCTGTAGCATTCACAGACTGTGCCCTTGCCTTACTGCTCCCAGTTCCTTACCTCTGCTGGTGGCCGTGAGGACTGGCAATGTGCAGGCCATGGTAGGGAGTGGTGTAGCCACTGACCTGTAGGCAGGCATTCTCTGGGTCATGTACTAGGAGGCAGCCTGGGTGCCTGGCAGGAGCTGGAGTGATGCTCATTTGGCCTCTTGGATGGTGGTTGGGCTGATAGCCCACAGGGAGGGTTCTATGCCTGCTTCCTCCTCCCCAAGTCCCCCAACCCACCACCTGGGTCAGGGCCAGCTGGAGTCTCTGAGCAGCCTGCTGGCACAGGCTGAGTCAGCTGTCGTGGGCACTGTCTTCTCTCGCCTCTCCTGCAGCCAGTCCTCTCCTCTGTCCCCATCCAGACATTCAAGAAAGCCCAGGGAGGACAGCGCCCTCAAGGTCGAACCATCAGGCTCTCTTTGAGGAACCCTACACATCAGGGGAATGCCTTTGCTATGTGAATTTTTTTTTTCCTGTGCCAGCTTTGGCGTTTCCCAGAGTTGGGTGCTGGGATTGCCCCTCTGTAGATTGGACCCATGCCCGTCTCTCATTTTCTCAAACCTTCAATGGCTCCCCAGTGCCTACTCCACACCCATATTCCTCCACAAGATTTTCTGAGCCCTCACTCCCAAGCATGCTCTCAATAAGCTGCCCAGCCTCCAGTCAGACAGAATATCTGCCCAGATTTGCCTTGAGTTGTCCCTGCCCTGTTGTCCCAAGACCTTGGCCCAGGCCCTTGAGTCTGTCCTTAATGATCTCAAATGAATGTGGGTTCTTTCCTTTTATTCCTTTGGTCCTCAATTTTGCTTGGCTCCTTCTGTCTCAAGGCCTTTGTGCCTGCTATTCCTGCTGCCTTGTCTGTACCTCCCCCAGGTATCCACCTGGCTTGCTCCCTCCCTGATTTCACTTCTCTACATACATGCCAACTCCCTAATCAGCCTCTGTAAATTGATATCACTTCTTTCTTTTCTTGTGAATCCTGTTTTGTGATTCTCCTTAATGCTTATCATTCAATGTCTCATTTATGTACAGTACTTGTTTGTTTATTGTCCTTCTCTTACCACTCAAATGTAAAGACTTTGTTCACCTCTGTATCCCCAGTAGCTCCAATAGTGCCTGGCACATAGTAAACCCTCAGTGCTATTGTTGGTTGAATGTAAGAATGAATGAAATGCAGGAGCATCATTCTGCCTTTCACCCTGCTTGACTCCCCACTTCTCCTTTCCCTGAGACCCAGAGCAGGCATCAAGCTGTATTCACATTTGGATCCCTCCTAGAAGTGAGCACAGACTCTTTTGCTCACTGGGGAGGCAGGGTAGAGCTATGGATTGTACAGTGCAAGCCAGTTTTCACATGGGACAGAAGAAACTGTTTGGGAAAGTAATCCATCCCACAGAGTGGGCATTCTGATTTTGCAATGAAATTCCTTTGGTTTTTTTGGTTGTTTTGGTTGTCAGGTATTCCCTGCTTCTAGAGCCGGCCAGCCTACATTCTCCCTGAAGTCATCTTGGATGCACATACACTGGGAAAGAGGCACCCTCTTTCCCAGTTTCTCTTCCTCTTCCATCTGGATGTTTCTAAACTTGTCTAGAACCTCATGTCAGGTCCCAGCTGTTCTGTTTGTCCTATTGGCTGGTCTTTCCTTCCACAAACCTTTTCTTGCCTGACTTTCTTTTGCTTGTGTTTTGACCTGGCCAGGAGAAGCACTCTGGTTTTATGAGACAGGCAGGGTAAGATAGGAAACCAGGTTGGAATCTAGAATAACAAGAGCTAAATTCCAGCCTGGTTGTGTTGCTAATCCCTAGGACCTCTGCAAACCACGGACCTTGGGAGCCTTTCTTAGTATCTGTAATCCATGCATTGCACCTCTTGCTCAAGGTTGTTTTGATGCACGAATGAAATTCAGAATTGACCTGGTGCAGGGTATCATTATGACAGCAAAGTCTTCATGTGGTGCCTGTGTAGGCTCAG